GTGTTTTTTTTGGTTGCAGCTATCATTATTTGGCAGGCCTGGGCTGGATTTGAACCTGCCAGCTCAGGTGTATGTGGCTGGCACCCTAGCCGCTTGAGCTACCGGCGCCAAGCTAGGGGTGTCTGTTAAGTCCTAGCCACATGCCAGGCCCTCACCTGGGTGCTCTCCACACATCATCCCTTCACTTCCTTGCAGCATTCCAATTTTTCAGACAAGGAGACTGAATAGGTAACCTGCCAGCAGCCCACAGCTGTCACTGAGGCTAAGCAGTGCCGGCGCTCTCTACCCTGGACCTTCTCAGACACTGTCCCCACTGAGTGGTTGGGTGGCTCCCCACAGTGAGCCCTGAGTCTGCCCCGAGGTCATAGCCCCACTTGTCTGTGCCAAGCCTCCTGAGCTTCCACACAGCCTGGGAAACTGGAGAATGTGACTCCGGAGGACAGTGGTGGTTACCACTGCCTGCGACCCTTCTCAAGGTCCTATCTCCTTCTAGGTGCCAGTACAGGCCTTTGGCAGCCTGCCCCCATCACCTCCAGTATCCCTCAGGCCATCCATCCATAGCCAGGGGCAGTGGGTGACACTGCCGGCCCCACTGGACACCATCAACCTCCACCTCCGGGCAGGGTACATCATTCCCCTGCAGGTACCCAGGATGGGCACTGTTGTAAAGGTGTGGATGGCTGGGGGTGGGAAACACTAGGGTGGGACAGCCCCAGCTAACGGAAGCCAGGACTTGTAGAACCAGTCACCTCCCAAGTGGGCTGCATGCCTGTGGTGATCACCCTGGCTGATGCCCATCAGGCGGGCCCCAGACCCTCCCCACTTCAACTGCTACCTACAGCCACTGGAGGACAGGCCCTGGCAGAGCCTCCAAGATGCAGATCTGCTAAATGACTGCCAGGCTGTGCTCTGTCCACATCACGTGTCCACCCTTTTCCAGGGCCCTGGCCTTACAACCAGAGAGTCCCGCAAGCAGCCTGTGACCCTGGTCACAGCCCTGACCAACAGTGGGGAAGCCCAAGGGGAGCTGTTCTGGGATGATGGGGAGAGCCTGGGGGTGCTGGAGCGTGGGGCCTACACGCTGGTCACCTTCCAGGCCAAGAATGTAAGTCCTAGGACCACCCAGACTGAGGGGGTGGGGACATCTAGGGTGACTGTCCTCATCTGAGAGGAACCAGGTGCTCTGCTGGGCAGGCAGGCCGACATCCTGATGTCACCTCTGGGCCACATATCTCTGCCCTCTGATCTGCACAGAGGGAGGCCTGTCCCTGACCTCATCCCCAGTCTGAGCCGCCTGGTGACTCCTCCCTACTCTTCACCTCTCTCTGCTCTGGCCAGAATACAATCACGAATGAGCTGGTGCACGTGAGCACAGAGGGGGCTGGCCTGCAGCTGCAGAAGGTGACGGTCCTGGGGGTGGCCACGGCCCCTCAGCAGGTCCTCTCCAATGGCGTCCCTGTGTCCAACTTTACCTACAGCCCCAACACTGAGGCAAGAGGGCCCTCATCCCAGGGTGGGCGAGGGGCAGGGGCACAGGGGCCTCACAGCGGGCAGAGAGGATTGTGCTGGTCAGGGAGGGGCAGGATGGGTCGGGCCACTCAAACTGAGCCTGTCCTCTCCCCATGTTGGCCTCTGGCGGCTGATGGGGCCATGACAATGACCCATCAGCTGTGTCCCAGCAGCACCACATTACCAAGCCTCAGGAAGGTGGCTGGTGTCTAGAGCAGAGGTCCCCACGCCCAGCGGGAAGGAGCAGGGCAGCAGCCTCTCAGGGCTGGCAGCCCCTCTCCCGAGCGCCCGGGGGTCTCGCTCTTGGTGGGCGTTGTTTGATGCTCACTGCTGCTTCCTTCTTTTCCAGATTCTGGATGTCCCTGTCTCGCTGTCCATGGGGGAGCAGTTTCTCATCAGTTGGTCCTAGCAGGGTGACCCTTACGGGGGAGGCTGATTTCCTCATGAGGCAGAGCCGAGCATTCATGGCACCTGTGTATCTCCCTTGGGTCCCCTGAACCTCCTGGGGTTGGGGCTCTGGTCTCCTGACATATCTTTGAAATGTTCTCTCCAATCCCATGGCTGCCTAGTGCCCTCAGGGGGTGCTCTCTTGCCTCCCCCAGCCTGTCACTGGCAGGTGTCCCTGGCACCAGAGATGCCAAGATGGGGAGTGTTGCCTCTGCACCCAGGGTCATGCCACGGCCTGCTGTGGCACAAAGCAAGGATGGTGCTCTGTGGGCCCCCACAGCTCCCCTGGGAAAGCTGCCCACTAAGCCAACCAGAGTGAGCCTTGAGAATTCACAGGCTTGAGACTTTCTTGATCTGAAGTGCAGTTACATCCAGTAAAGGGGCATTCGGAATGACGCCTCGGCTGATCCTTCTGGAGGGGGGAGTAGGGAGGCAGCCCCTCAACAAGCCCTGGATGTTCCTGGGGACATGTCCTCCATCTCTCTCAAGCCAGAATCCTTGATGTCCCCATGTCACCCACCTTGCACCTTGTCCTCATGTCGCTCCACGTCCCCACTTCTGAGGTTCCTACCTCGCCCCATGTCCCTAGGGCACAGAGCCCCATCTCTCATGTCCATACCTCACCCCACCATCCCGAATTCCCATGTTACGTTACATCCCAACTTCATCCCACATCTCATCACCTGTTTCCCCCATCTCTCTGTCAGCCATGTCTTGTTCCCATCACCCCACATCCTCACCTCACCTGTGCCCCATTAGGCCTCATGGCCCCGCATCACCGATCTAAGCTGACTAGAGGATGTCCATCCGGGTCTGATGTCAGAGACATAAATAGGAGCTATGGGCCTCCTGCCCCCAGGGCTGCATGGACATGAGGACCTCAGTAGGTGCCTAGACAGAGACTTGTCTCCAGGTGATGTGCTTAGAGATGGGCTCTGGCCCAGGCTCTGCTAGCAAGTCCTAGAAAAGGACAGAGGGCCATTTTATTGAGGAGGTAATGGTGCCAGCTAAAGTCACTGTTAG